GTTCTGACTCTACCCACAGAGCAGCCAACTCCAAGAGGCCAGCTTTAATTCTGCCAGTGTGAATTATTTTAAGCAGCTGAAGAAGGAACAAAAAGGGTTTTCCTGTGTGAGTTTCTTGTGGCTGTTTAGCTGCTCTCTCTGGGCAAAGGTCAGAGGGGGCAGGGCTTCTGTTGAGGTAGGTGATTAGCTGTGGGAGGAGCTTATCAGAGCTTTAGGGCAGCGCGCAGTTTGATCCATATTTTAGATTTAGGGGAGCTAGTCTCAAACATTTGTTGGGGGAGACCTAGGTTTTTTGGGAGGGATTTATTTGTCCTGTCTCCACACTTTTTATGATAGAGGACCACTGTAGTCACCCCCAACGACACGTTCCCAAGATGGAGGGTGAGGGAACAGCTGCAGTCGCCTGTGGTTCCTGCGCAATGTTTGCCATCTTGCCAAAGGTTGCAGGCAGCTTTACCTGCAGCAATTGCATGTTGATTGCCCTCTTAAAAGACAAAGTCCAGCAACTGGAGGAACGTGTAGCTACGCTCCAAAGAATTAGAGAGCTGGAACTCTTCTTGGAAGCAACAGAGCACACCGTCTCCACCAAGGAAGAGACAGGGGACTCCCCTGAGAAGGTGGCTAGTTCACCAACACAGGAGCCAGATATATGGAGAAACGTGACTCAAAGAAGTAGGAGGCCCAGGGTTCGCTCTGATTGTTTAGAAATACGCAATCGCTTTGAGGTCCTTTCCCCTAGCATGGAAGACGAAGAGCAGACTCCATTTGAGGATCTCTCCCTCATTACAGTCGATCAGGTATATGAAGACGAGGAGCAAAGGCAGTCCTCTGGGAATGTCCAGGCGACCTTGGAACCGACAGCTCACAGAAGAACCCCGACCAGACCTAAGAGGAGGCGTGTAGTGGTGATAGGGGATTCCCTACTGAGGGGAACAGAAGCAGTGATCTGTGGGCCTGACAAGATGTCTCGGGAAGTGTGCTGTCTCCCCGGGGCTAAGATCCAAGATGTAACTGAACGACTGCAAGGAATCATAAAACCCACTGACAAATACCCCTTCCTCTTGGTTCATGTGGGAACCAATGACACTGCAAGCAATAGCCTCCAGAAGATCAAAAGAGATTACGAGGCTCTGGGCAGGAAATTGAAGCAATTAAATGCACAAATTGTCATCTCATCTGTCCTCCCAGTTGAACGACGTGGCCCAGGGAGAGAGGGAAAAATAGTGGAAGTGAACAACTGGCTTCGCAAATGGTGCAAACAGGAACGGTTTGGATTCTTAGATCACGGAATGCAGTTTCTTGAAGATGGACTTCTGGCAAGCGATGGGCTGCACCTCACAACGGTTGGGAGGAATGTTTTTGCAAAAAATCTCAGAAACCTCATCAGGAGGGCTTTAAACTGACTAATGTGGGGGAGGGAGACAGTGCTCCTGAAGGTAGGAGTCTATCAATTGATGAAGATGATCATCCAAATGTCATAGACCGAATGGAGCAAAGAGCATGCAGACCTAGTGGTGGGAGGAGAAAATCCTTAAATAAGAGACACGGGGGAATGATTAATGGACTTCAATGTCTGTACACTAATGCGCAAAGCATGGGAAATAAACAAGATGAGCTTGAGCTCCTGGTACAGCAAACTAAATATGACATAATAGGAATCACTGAAACCTGGTGGGATAAATCCCACGATTGGAATGTAATAATGGAGGGATACAATCTATTTCAAAGAAACAGACCAGACAAGAAAGGAGGAGGAGTGGCGTTATATGTCAGGGATGTGTATACCTGTGAAGAGATCCAAGATTTAGAACCTCAAAGCCAAAGTGAGAGCATTTGGGTCAAAATTAAGGGAGAGAAGAATAACAGTGACCTCATTGTGGGAGTTTACTATAGATCCCCAAGCCAAACGGAGGACATAGATGATGCCTTCCTGGAACAGATGGCCAAGCATGCAAAAGGAAGGGAAATAGTAGTAATGGGGGACTTCAATTACCCGGATATTTGTTGGATATCAAACTCAGCCAAGAGCATAAGGTCAAACAGATTCCTCACTGCCCTTGCAGACAACTTCATTGTCCAGAAAGTGGGAGAAGCAACAAGAGGAACAGCCATTTTAGATCTGGTCCTAACCAATGTTGATGGCCTGGTTAGTGGGGTAGAAGTGGAAGGATCATTAGGCGCGAGTGATCATGCTCTTCTGAAGTTTACTATACAGCGGAAAGGAGCAGCCAAGCATACTAGGACTCAATTTCTCGACTTTAAGAAAGCCGACTTCATAAAGCTTAGGGAAGTGCTGGGTGAGATCCCATGGACAGTAATACTAAAAGGAAAGGGAGTTCAAGATGGCTGGGAGTTTGTTAAGAGGGAGATAGTAAAAGCACAACTTCAGGCAATACCAATGAGATGGAAACATGGAAGGTGCCTAAAGAAGCCAGGGTGGCTATCTAAAGAACTTTTAACTGAGTTAAGATTAAAAAAGGATGTGTACAAAAAATGGAAAAGGGGGGAAACCACCAAAGAGGAATTCAAACAAATAGCCAGCACGTGTAGACACAAAGTCAGAAAAGCTAAAGCACAAAATGAACTCAGGCTTGCTAGAGAGGTTAAAAGCAACAAAAAAGGCTTTTATGGGTATGTTCGTAGCAAAAGGAAGAACAAAGAAACCGTGGGGTCACTCAGAGGAGAAGATGGTGAAATGCAAACAGGGGACACAGAAAGGGCTGAACTCCTCAATGCCTTCTTTGCCTCAGTCTTCTCCGATAAAGAAAACAATGCCCGACCTGAAGAATTTGGAGCAAATGATTCAGCAGAGGAAACACAGCCCAGAATAACTAAGGAGATAGTACAAGAATACTTGGCTAGTCTAGATGTATTCAAGTCTCCAGGGCCAGATGAACTGCATCCAAGAGTATTAAAAGAACTGGCAGATGTGATTTCAGAACCACTGGCAGTCATCTTTGAGAATTCCTGGAGAACAGGCGAAGTCCCGGCAGACTGGAGGTGGGCAAATGTTGTCCCTATTTTCAAAAAGGGGAAAAGAGAGGACCCAAATAATTACTGCCCAGTCAGTCTGACATCAATACCAGGGAAGATTCTGGAGCAGATCATTAAGCAAACAGTCTGTGAGCACCTAGAAAGGAATGCTGTGATCACCAATAGTCAGCATGGATTTCTGAAAAATAAGTCATGTCAGACTAACCTGATCTCGTTTTTTGACAGAATTACAAGCCTGGTAGATGAAGGGAACGCAGTGGATGTAGTCTACCTTGATTTCAGCAAGGCATTTGACAAGGTGCCCCATGATATTCTTGTAAAGAAGCTGGTAAAATGCGGTCTTGACTATGCTACCACTCAGTGGATTTGTAACTGGCTGACTGACCGAACCCAAAGGGTGCTCATCAATGGTTCCTCTTCATCCTGGAGAAGAGTGACTAGTGGGGTGCCACAGGGTTCTGTCTTGGGCCCGGTCTTATTCAACATCTTTATCAACGACTTGGATGATGGACTCAAGGGCATCCTGATCAAATTTGCAGATGACACCAAACTGGGAGGGGTGGCTAACACCCCAGAGGACAGGATCACACTTCAAAACGACCTTGACAGATTAGAGAACTGGGCCAAAACAAACAAGATGAATTTTAACAGGGAGAAATGTAAAGTATTGCACTTGGGCAAAAAAAATGAGAGGCACAAATACAAGATGGGTGACACCTGGCTTGAGAGCAGTACATGTGAAAAGGATCTAGGAGTCTTGGTTGACCACAAACTTGACATGAGCCAACAGTGTGACGCGGCAGCTAAAAAAGCCAATGCAATTCTGGGCTGCATCAATAGGAGTATAGCATCTAGATCAAGGGAAGTAATAGTGCCACTGTATTCTGCTCTGGTCAGACCTCACCTGGAGTACTGTGTCCAGTTCTGGGCACCACAGTTCAAGAAGGACACTGACAAACTGGAACGTGTCCAGAGGAGGGCAACCAAAATGGTCAAAGGCCTGGAAACGATGCCTTATGAGGAACGGCTAAGGGAGCTGGGCATGTTTAGCCTGGAGAAGAGGAGGTTAAGGGGTGATATGATAGCCATGTTCAAATATATAAAAGGATGTCACATAGAGGAGGGAGAAAGGCTGTTTTCTGCTGCTCCAGAGAAGCGGACACGGAGCAATGGATCCAAACTACAAGAAAGAAGATTCCACCTAAACATTAGGAAGAACTTCCTGACAGTAAGAGCTGTTCGACAGTGGAATTTGCTGCCAAGGAGTGTGGTGGAGTCTCCTTCTTTGGAGGTCTTTAAGCAGAGGCTTGACAACCATATGTCAGGAGTGCTCTGATGGTGTTTCCTGCTTGGCAGGGGGTTGGACTCGATGGCCCTTGTGGTCTCTTCCAACTCTATGATTCTATGATTCTATGAATGTATGTGGATGAAGGAGCTTCTTATTCTTCCAAGACAGACAATCTGCATTGCTAAGAATATATTCCTTTCAGGCCATCTTCCTCCTCAGCAGGCTGTGCTGCCTATCAGTTTTCTCTTTTCATAGGCACACTGTTCCCCTCACACCATGAGCCACCTTTACAGGTCACTCAGGCAGATTCCAGGATGCTATTTAATGTTCAAGTCCCACAGTTTCATTAGCCTGAACACACTTGGTAAGCCTGTGATCTTTGACACCTTACAGAACAGGAATAATTTTATAGTACATCCACACCATTTTTTATTTTAACTCACGCCCAGAATACCACAAGGTATATACCAGCCTTCTCCTCTAAACTATTCCTGTGCAACAAGCTAAGAGCCTAGACTCACAATGATATAACCTATTCTACAGGTGTTAGGACTCGGGGATAACATGGCCAGGCATGTGTTTCAGACAGGAAATGTCTGAGCTTTCCAATTAAAAGTTAATTGTCTTTGTCATTAACAGGCTCCCTCTGTTCATTTCCCCTGAAATTTGCTCAGCACTAGATCTTCCTTAATAAGCAATAAACACATAGCAGGGCACGCTGGTAGAATCAGATTTATGGGATTAGAAATGGCTTTTAATACCTTCATCATAATCTTTTAATTTAGAGCAGACTCCAAATCAAATCGGCCTCACTTTCTACAATGAATGATAATTTATTTAGGGTTTTAGCCATGACAGTGGTTCTAAGAAAGATAAGTTCTTAAAGCAAAAATAATACTAATTATTCACCAAGAAAACCTCACCTGGTTTTTTCCAAACAGGCATTTACATCGGAACGAACTGTGACATCTTCCCACAAAGTAGTCTTACTTTCATAACAGTTCCTTCCACACAAAAATTCAGAGCCATGCTGTTTGTCTTACATCCATCCCATGAGGCAGGTTAGGCTGAGAAATGGGGTCTTGCTTGCCCAGAGCGATCCAATAAGCTCTTCAGCACAGGTTGACTTAAAGTGCTATTTCAAAGACTGAACGATGGAGAGATAAGAGAAGCATGCCGCCCTCCATAAGCACATGTTGCAGAGGCATTGGTCAAATCCATTTTCTTTGTCCAAACATGTGCATTAAAGCACCCACCATAAGGTGCAGGATGTAGATGCACACTTAAAATGTCCAAGCACTTCTGGCTGAGCTACAAATCCCATAGCTAAACTATGGGGTTCACCTCCACAAGATGCAAAGATGGCCACCAATTTAGACAACTTTAAAGGGGTTTTAGATCAATTCATGGGAGGTATCAATGGCTACTTATCATGGCAGCTATGGTACCTACAAGATCAGAGAAACCATGCCTGTGTCCCAGTTGCTCAGAAACAACTATCTTACTCGTGGACTTTCCAGAGGCATCTGATTGGCCATTATGGGATACAGGATATTGGACCAGACCGGCTTTTGGTTTGGTCCAGCAGAGCTCTTCTTATACAACTAGACTTCCTACATCCAGATTGTCCTCTAAATCAATGCACTACACTGGTTGCAAGGATAATTTCACATATTATGCAAAGGCAAGCATTGGTTAGTCAATGGGGACCACAGCCAATCACCACTTCCTGCCTAGTGTACCTGTTTGATGCAGGCATTTGCTAACTCATTTGTCATTTATCTATATAGCTGTAAAACGAAAATGTGTGAAGTGGCTGTTAGCATACATCGGATGGTTGGGAAGCATGGAAATCTGTGGTATCGGTCACCAATTTGCAATTCATTTTAGGCATCTAGAACTGATTCAGTTAAGAATGCAGTTTTCACAATGTCTCCTTCTGCAGGATTGATCTGACAACACAACTCATGATATGCCCAGGAAGAATACAAAGCTCCAGACAATGACGTGCTGTGGAGTATACAACACAGAACCACATTACTCTCTGGCCTCTCTTGTTTCAGCTCAGGCCTGGTTAGTGGAGGCCATTAAAAGAAAAAGGTTGATACACTGGGGAAGATCTGTTTGAATTGCTTTCCCAGGGATTACATCAAACTAATCTGAAGCAAAGTGTAAGAGTGCTTTGAAGAACCTATCTATAACATGACTGAAGACAAGTACTGCAAGACAGAGACGTATCTTATCTAGGACACGCTTTCTTTCAAGGGGTATGGGCCAGACTTTCACTCACGTGTGATTTATACAGATCTCTGCAAAAGCTCCTTTTACCATAGCAGTTGTGAAGTGATAAAGCCGATTAACTCTCCCAGCACTGAGCAGACCAGCTCGCTTCAAGCAGCCTGCACCTTTCCTTATATCAGAGCTGGAGCGAAAAGATTGGCATCAGCACCATCTGGTGGACTTGGAAATATAAAATACTCAGAAGCAAACCACAACATCATATGCAACCTAGCAAGAAATAGCAGATCAGGGTAAGAGGCAATGGTGTACCTCTTTGGAGGCAGTGATTTTGATATTCTTAAGACTGCAATACTCTGGAGAAGAGGTTTTGATGCCTACCTTTACATAGTGCAACAGACCACATCCCAGTTCACAGAGTTTGTCCACTCTAAAGAGCATATTGCAGACATTTCCAACTGCTAGCAGTTCTTCTTCCTTCCATCTCAATCCCTTTGCCCGTTACCATCAGACAAAAGTTCCAAAAGAGCCAGGTGGAACGGGCAGGGACTTTAAACATAATTACACATGAAGAATCTCAAAGAGGCAAAACCAAATCCAGAAGTCCAGGGCTTTCTCTTTCCCAGGAATTGATTCACTTCTCTTATGTCCCTCTTTGCAAACCAACTGATTCTTTTTTATCAAAATGAAAAGGGAGGTAGAGGTTTCTCAAGGGAAGTGAGAATGTCTCAGCTCAATTAATGCAGGGCTGTTGCCAAACTTTAAAAAAAAATTCTTTTCTGAACATTGTTTTCTATATCATACTTAGAACCCAGAATTTAGAGCAATAAATCAGAACAAGGACATCTATGGTAGAGCTCAGGAGTCACAAAGAAGGAGCTGGTATGAGAATGCCATTCCAGGTTCGGTTCGGTTCTCTTCCTCTCCCTCCCTCCACCCATGGCTACAGGAGTTTACAAGAGTTCTTCAAGATAAGATTAATGTTCCGTGATGTGTGGTTCTGTTTCAACACGCCCAAGACCTGTCGAGCTTTGTCTTGCATGATCAGCTGGTCTTTAGAACCACCACAAGCCACTGTTTTCCAAGCACTGGACATCTAAGGAAGAGAAAGAGAAAGTAAGCAAGCAAGCACACTTTTGGGGAAAGCTTCTTGATGCAGTTTTGTAAATTAGCCTCTCACTCAGGAGTCAGAATTGGCTCAGGTGAACCCATAGGGAAGCTTTTGCAAAAAGTTGAGAATGAGTCCCCCAAATTCTCACTGACCATTGATGTGCTACAAATAACTTAAATGCATAGAGTACTAGTAATTTTTTTTTTGGGGGGGGGGGTGAATTTACTTGAAAGGCTTCAGTGGGTTTAAGCCATGTAATGTATACTGTCCCAGGGCTGTATCCAGCATTAGGTAGTTTTGTTAGAGCAGGGTTTCCCAAAGTTGGGTCTCCAGCTGTTGTTGGACTACAACTCCTATCATTCCTAACTAGCAGGACCAGTGGTCAGGGATGATGGGAACTGTAGTCCAAAAACAGCTGGAGGCCCAAGTTTGGGAAACGCTGTAAGGTCTTTTCACTGCACGTGGAGCTTCCCCTCCATCTCCTCTCCCCACATGCCCCCTAAATCCTTTAAGAACATAAGAGCCTGCTGGATCAGGCCAGTGGTCCATCTAGTCCAGCATCCTGTTCCCACTGTGGCCAACCAGATGCCTGTGGGAAGCCTGTGAGCAAGGACACTCTGCCCACCTGCAATTCGCAGCAGCTGGTATTCAGAGGCATAGTGCCTCTGGCAGCGGAGGCCAACATAGCCACCAATAGACTTGACCTCTATGAATTTCTCTAATCCTCTTGTAACGCCATACAATTCCATGGGTATCACTGCCTCCAGTAGGAAGCAATTCCATAGTTTTAACTGTTCTGGGAGTTCCAGCAACCTTGCAGAACAGATCAGGGTAGGGCACTAGGGATGCATAATTCTGCTGTGCAAACTGAAATTCTTACGTTAATGGAACTGCTTTGCTGGATACATTGCCCTGTATTGATAGCCCTAATTATGTGTTTCCTGGGAGCCCAAGTCCCAATAGGCACATTCACTTGCCCACCCCACCAAAGGCATGATTTTAGACACCAGTGCTGTATCTCTTCCTTCGCTGTCTCCAAAGCAGGCTCTTTGTTGTTATAAGGCTGCATACTTTACGCGCGCACGCGCACACACACAAAATCTGAATTATGCAAAGCAATCCTGAATTCTGAACAAACTGCACGATTTCTTCAAAGAAGGAAGTTCACTCATTTTGGATCATATTTTCAGAGGCATAGCCTGCCAGGCAAGGAGTTGTACAGCTTACTCAAGCGTTGCACAGGGTGAGAGTTGGGATAGGGAAGCAGGAGGGGGCAAGCAGCGTTCAAATGCATACTCTTAACAGGCTGAGGTCTCAAAATCAGCCCCAAACATCTCCAGCTAAAAAGGACCCTCAGATAAAAGGGATAAATGGATAAATGGATTGACCAAGTATAAGGCAACTTCCTACATTCCTAAGACCCATTCCCTGAATATTATGCATTAACTGCTGTAGCAATGCCAGGAAAGATTAATGACTGAAAATCTCAAGACCATTAAAAGTAAGTCAGTCAGGTGACTGGGCAAAACCACATTCGCAGAATCACAACCACAATTGCATCTGGCAGTGGTCATCTGTGGTTAACCCCAGTGGCACCACTCCAAAAAGCAGGGAACCCGAAGACTCACACTGCTGGAGTTAGTGTCACAATTGGGGCTACAGGTTATCGATTTGCTGTGAAATTTCAGGTGCCTCACCACAAACTTTTAAGCAGCTTCTATGCCCATCAATTCAAGAAAACAACTTTTCAGCAAGGTTAGAAGAAGGCTCACACAAAATGCCATGGTAGATAATATTGATGGAACCTGGGACTGGAGGATAATCTCTCTCTCTCCCCAACCCCACTTGATTCTTTATCAACAGAATTTTGTTTTAAAAACTCGGCCCACTTATTTATAACCTAGATTCTGGGCTCAAATTTCAGTGAGTCTACTCTGAGTAAAGGTTCGTTGAACATCACCCTCCATAAGTGATTTTGTTTTAAGCTTGTACACAACAAAATAGTGACTAAGCAAACTCTAGTCAAATGATGGAAAAATTAACCATCACAACTCTTCATAAACTCCACAATGGACCTTAATTCATTTAAGAAATGCAAAATCATTAACAGGCATACAACCATGTTGCCTGGCACTTGAGCAAGGCACAACATTCACAAAGCTCATGAAGATGGCAGGTTCTGGTACTGCAAGTCTCTCAAAACCCCATAACTGTGGCACCCGCAAAGTTTCCCCAATGGACTGTGCTTACCAGAGGAGGTGGTCTGAATTTGCTTTGGATTCTCTTGGAAGACGGGGCCTTCTCTGCCTTCACATGCACAAACCCCCTGTTGAGCAAGCTGCTGTCATTCCTGCTGCTTGACAAAGAGAGGTTTAGGGACTGCGGAAGGAAGTTCACAGACTGCAATCAACCAAAGGGAAAAACGAAAGTTACAACCAATGGCATTGCTGAGATTTCCCTCCCAAATCCTCTTTTTAGAAAAAGGAGGCGGCGGCAGGCAAAGAAGCAAATATTTAATGTAATCAAGTTTCTCTTATCTTTCTGTCACGGTGCAAGCTTCCTAGAGAAAAAGAGGACTTTGTAATCAATCACTGGGGCAGCGATCAGAACAATAAGCCTGGTAGCCTAATGCTGTGCAGTCTAGCATCATATTCGGCAGTGGCTCTCCGTGACTAAGAAACTCCGTAACTATTACTGTGGAATAATGGGAAAACTCAACCTTTGGCGTTACTCCACAGTTAATTGTCATGGACACCTGCCGGCAAGGAGGTTAGGCAACACAGTATCGTGCGTATTGTTCCAATCGCTGCACAAATGAGTCATAGAACAAGGGCAGTTTTCCCCAAAAAAACCCCACAACCATTTACATCATGATGGAAGGGTAAGAGATAGGGTTGCCTGCTGGTCACAGAAAACAATAGCTTCTACGGACTCCCAGTGGTTTCAACTTTCTCGTCACAATGCGTGTGGAGAAATACTTGAACATTTTTGGCATGTTAGAAGCTGGGGATCTTAGCAAATTGTGCTGTGTTGATTGGACTTGAGCCTGGCTCTTATACAGCCCCTTGGTAAGCCCAGGAGAGGCAGTGTGAACCCTCACAGACTCCTCCCACTCCATGTAGTGTGTTGTGTGAACAGTGGTGTGGGTAGAAGAGAAATGGTGGCCATAGGAACCTGAAGCTCCAGGATGTTTTCAGAGCAGGAGCAACATCATCTGCCGGAGCACCAGGATAACGGACAGACCTTTCTTGCTCCGGCAAGTGAACAAGGCGAAAAACAAGGTTTTCAAGTTTTACAGTGGAAATCGGGAGGAAAATAATTGAGCAGAATACTGTCCTTGGATGGGGTTCCTGAAACGTGCTTGCAATTTAAATGCCAACACTTATTTGCAAGGTTGCTTCCATTTTAATTAAAAGCTAAAGGTTGCAATTCAGCAGGCTAAAGTGCTTTTGTTAAATCTCAGTGGTTTAAGAAGTTTAACTTGTACAATCAGGAGTACTGCGTTCGATGGAGCATATTCCCAGGTAATTCTGCACAGGGCTAAAGTCATGCAACTCCAACATGCTAACCACTACACCTGCCTTTGCCAGCTCACTATCCTATGACTGACAGCTGACCCTAATAAGCTGGGGTTGTTTTTTTTTGTTTGTTTGTTTTTAAGTATCTCAGGATTCTGTTAACAGGCCTGCTGCCCAAGTCTACCCAGTGAATTCATGAACAAGCCAGGTCTCCCATCCTCCAAGAATCATAAATGTGAAAGTCAACATTTGTGTAAATGTTACACAAATGAAAGGGTGTATTGCACTGCAACACTTCAGAGTTCATCTTATTTGGGGGTGGAGAGAGCAATATTTTTTTAAAAAAAATCTGACTCACCAACCTAGAAGTTATATGCGAAGTGTTTTCGATGACAAGGGAGCATTAAATATAAAATGTCCTACTTGGTCTTAAGTGGTACAAATGCAAAATTCCAATCCCTGTTTCTATGAAATGTGCAGTATGCTTCTGAAGATGTTTAAAATATAATGCTTAAGCACACAACCAGGATTAAATATAACTGAACTCAATGGGATATGTATTTATGAGAAAACACGCATATATACTCAAATCAGAAGCACACAAAACAAGTTCCACCTAAGGGCACAGTTGGGCAACAATGCATATGGATTCATCAGAGGTAGCCAACACGACACGCTGCAGATGTTGCTGGACTCCAGACTCCTATCAGCCCCAGCCAAAATGGCCAATGATCAGGAATAATGTGAATTGTAGTTCAAAAGACCTGGAAGGCATCATATTTGCTGTTGTTGTTTAGTCATGTCCAACTCTTCATGACCCCATGGACCAGAGCATGCCAGGCACTCCTGTCTTCCACTGCCTCCCGCAGTTTGGTCAGACTCATGCTGGTAGCTTCGAGAACACTGTCCAACCATCTCATCCTCTGTCGTCCCCTTCTCCTTGTGCCCGCCATCTTTCCCAACATCAGGGTCTTTTCCAGGAAGTCTTCTCTTCTCATGAGGTGGCCAAAGTATTGGAGCCTCAGCTTCACGATCTGTCCTTCCAGTGAGCACTCGGGGCTGATTTCCTTCAGAATGGATAGGTTTGATCTTCTTGCAGTCCATAGGACTCTCCAGAGTCTCCTCCAGCACCATAATTCAAAAGCATCAATTCTTTGGCAGCATCATATTAGCTGCCCCTTACTATAGATGTTAACGTAATACAGTGATACCTTGGTTCCCGAACTGCTTAGTTGTGCAACAAATCGGCTCCCGGACACTGCAAACCCAGAAGTGTGTATCCCAGTTTGTGAACATTTTTCGGAAGCCGAACATCTGACTCGGCTTCCGCTTGAGTGCACGAAGCTCCTGCAGCCAATCAGAAGCTGTGCCTTGGTTTTCAAATGGTTTCGGGAATCGAATGGACTCCCAGAATGGATTAAGTTCAAGAACCAAGGTTCCACTGTAAACATGTCACAAGGAAACGGGTTGGCTTTATCAACTTCCAAAGTGTCCTTTTTTTCAACACCATTCCTAGACTTGCTTCATCTTATTTTATTTTCCCCCCATTTCCCCACTTCTTATGAGCCAATCGCCCAGCAGATTTTTACCACCCTTTTTACCTGCAACAACCTGAGCCTCTCGTTGGCAGACTGCCACGGCAGGGTTGCTAAAAGCAGCAAGGGCCAAATGCAGCCTTGCTGCAACTCTACAGAGTTTAACCGTTTTACAGCATGCACAAGAAAAGCCGTAGCCTGCCGGTTTGTACTGCTGCACAAGTGCACCCCGTTAGCAAGCAAACATTGATTATTGTATCAGAATTAATGAGGGTCAAACATTCAGCAATTGTTTTTAAAAGCCATATGGGATTTGTCTCGGTTAAAAACAAACCTAGAGTTCCAAGGCAATTCATTAGCGTGGACAGGCAAGTCACTAACATGCCACCTGCAGAAATGAGTGCCACCATGGGTTGCCTCACAAGGAAACCGTTCATTTAAATTCCCAGATTCTAGGACTAAAGGCACTTGCAATGCACTAAGCAAATGTCTCTGAAATGAGTCAGCCTGGCTGCTCCCACCTGTCAGAGAAGTCAAAGCTGCGATTGATAAGCAAGTTGTTTGGCGGTAGAAATCCCTGGGGTCCTAATGAGCTGCTGTTTCCACCTCCCCTTTACTGCACTTTCCTTGCTTCTGGCTGATTTTTTTTAGTAATCCTTGGAATCTCCAGTGTTTGCCCTTTCTTTTCCCCTAGCAACCGGAATGCAGTGTTCCTGTGGTAGGGTCATCTGAGATCAGGTACTCCCTAGAACTTGTTTTCTGTGAATAAGTGTGGGCAAATCTATGTTGTGAAAACTCTGCAATAGACTGTGCAGAAGCTAAAGACCAGGCCCTATTTAAGTATTCACTTTGGTTTAGGATTTGCATTGGAGAAAACAGGGTTCTTGTGCCTTTCACAATTGTACTCCTTATGCTGGTCTGTGACCATAACAAAGTCCATTCGTTCATTCACAGTTGTACTTTCCACAATCCAGAAAAGGAGGAACAATAATGACTGTACTCTCTTAATTCTGTGTTATGTCATGTCCCCAAGGCAGCCATTTTTTGGTTGGTACCCTCACTACTGTCTCGAAATTCAAAATGTGCCCACTGGTCCACACTTTTGGGCAATCAAAGCCCAGTACGGCCTACTTTGACTTGAAGCAGCTCTTGAAAATCTCCAGATGTTTTTTCTCTGACCGACTGCAGGGAATTCAACTTAAGACATTTTGTATTCAAATGCACTACCACTGAGCTATGGCCTGCCTCAGTGCATATCTATTGCCACAAAAAAATATGGAGGCATCCAAAAGCCAAACTAGACAAGACACAGCAAAAGTGCCTTGTCTAGTTTGTTCCTCACTGAAATACACCCGAAGGTGGGGGGCAGAATTGATTCAGGTAGCGCTGAGTGCAGAATGGGGGACTTAGCCCTCTTTCCAAGTCAAAATGGGTTTCTCCTGTTTTGTGGGAAGGAAGCATCCACTTCTCTGATGAAACCTGCAGTCCACTGTGGTTGCATTCTGGCAAAGGTAACACAAACACCTGTGAGATATTTGTCCCAAGTCTCATAGTTTGGCCTGTTCCAAGCTTTTTTATTCAGAACAATGAGTACCAGATACTTGTGGTTTTTAAAAATGATCTTAAAGAGTTTCTAGTTACTAAATCTACTCCCCACTATCACCACCACCCATCTGATTACGACTCACCTGAGATCTTTTGAAACAAACAGGTTTGGCCGTGGTGGAAACTGTCAGCTTCAAGTCTTCATCCACAATGTCAAGGGCTAGAGATTTCCTGACCTTCTTAATGGGACTCCTGTGCATCTGGAAAGACAATAAAAGAATATTTAAGTCCCAACAATAAACAGTAGGCAACAATTTGGGGATGAAGTAGCATTGTATGCTAATTTTAGAACAAAGGGAGCTACTGGGAAAGCTTCATGGGGCACCAGTAAGTTATGGAGAACGAATTCATTTGAGCACACTTGACAGCTGTCAGGAAGACTCCATACTACTATCTCTGCAGTTACATGGGAACAAAGGAATCTGCCTTCTACAAAGTCAGACAACTGGTTCATCTAATGTAGGACTGTCTACACCAGGAGTGAGGAACCTTCCGCCCTCCAGATGCTGCTGGACCACAACTCCCATCATCCCTGACCGTTGACCATGCTCATTGAGAATGATGGGAGTTGTGATCTGGCAACATCCAGAGGGCCACAGGTTCCCCAGCCCAGACTGTGTGGCGGTGGCTCTCCAGAGTTTCAGACAGGAATCTCTTCACGCCTTACGTAGATATGTGAGTGATTAAACGTGGGCCCTTCTGCGTGAAAATCAGGGTGCTCTACCACTGAGCTACAGCCTTTCACCATAATGATGTACAAACTGGCAGACCACATACATGCATTGGCTGTTATGACTGCAGCACCGGGGAAGTACAGAGCTGGCTTCAAACCGCCGGTGCAAAGCTGGATTTGCTAGCTGCAATGCCTATGGACAAAATATCATGCTTGTGGACAAATATAAACTGAGAAAGAATTCCATCTTTTTAGAGCCTGGGAAAGAGAATCATGCTGTGAATGTCTTATTACCAGTTTTTAAAGATGCTGCAGCACACTTTATTTCTTTTTTGGGGGGGGGCAGCCAACACTGCTAGCAAATGCTCAGCATTCTGGATGCCTCAAATTCCTGCAGAACTCTAATGGTCCCAATGACCTAGCCTGCTCTTACATACTTGAGCAGTTATCTCACTTATCCAGTATTGGTCCTCATGTAGTCAGAATGGCTCTAGGCACATGCAAGAGGGAGCTTTCAGAAGGCTTGGAGCAACTCTGCAGTTTGCAGAAGTACCAAAAGTATTTAGAAACTATATAGCCCTTGAAGAACCCACCTACTCCCGAGGAAAACACCTCAATGAGGAGTTAGCCTGCTCAATGGGCACTGAATGCCGACTGAAGGTTTGATGAGAAGGGATGAAACCCTAAAGCGAATCACTCCACACTGCACCATTTTCCTGCAGATTATACTTGTACAATATACAAGATACTTACACCCTGTTTCCTCTTCTGTCTCTCTGGCTTCACATCATCTTCTATGATCAGCTCAATACCAGCCTCGCTCCGTAGTACTTCTTTCAAATCCTCTTCCAGGTTAGGCGTTTGAGGCTGGCATTAGGGATGCAGGAGGAAGAGAAAAAGTTGTGCTTCCAGACTTTCCATCACGAACAATATATGTGACCAGTACATGTAGCACAGGCCAAGAACATAAAATTGTTTCGTAGCCACTGTGCAGACTGACTCTTAGCTAACCTGACCTGGAAGGACTCCCATGGCACACTTCTCTTAGGACTAATGTTTCCCCAAGAACACCTACATGCTCAAAGACAGCAGCAAAGCCCAGCATGCAGCTTTGAGGAAAGAGGAAAAACTGCAAGAGCCTTAGAACTATTGGAGCACAAATAGCCTCCGGATATTTATCCTCTTTACGAAGAACCAAAAAAAGGTGGCAAGATCAAGTCCCCATAACCTTATTACATAGCTTGACTGATATGGCATCCATAGCCATTTAGGGAAAAGACATCTAAAAATAAGGAAATTGCACGATTCCTTAATAGAGAAAAATACAATAAAATGCCAGCCTTAAAGTGCTTTTGCTTGCTGAGAGCTAATGAAACTGAAAGCTGCTGTTTTGGACCTACTTTGTTAACCTATTAAAAAACCAACATTGTTCAGATAAGCAGAACACCATCTCACAGGTCAAAAAACCTGACAGGTTGAATCTAGCTGACAGTCTCAAAATCTGCTAATCTTTTAATTTTCATGTGAAGCATCATTTCATTCTATACTAATGTAAGGATATTTCTGCGGAATACTGGCTTCATGTTTTTGCTTAAGATGGGGGACCTGGTCCAGAATTCTAGCACTGCGTTCCCAGCAGCAGAAGCACAATGGAATGCAATACAGGTAGGACCCACGGAACAGCTATACAGCGCGCGCGCACACACACACACACACACACACAGACAGAGAGAGAGACATACCAAAGGCCTAATTGGTCCATACTTCTCCAGAGCATTCTTGAAAGGTGTGGGTGTATGAGGTGTATTGTCCGTGATGTACTTCTGATCAGGTGTCACAAATCTGAAAGCACAGAAGAGGAGAGGTTTGCTGCGGGAATTTTTAGGTCTTATAGATTTCGTAACCTGTCGATTAACTGTTGTATTCTAATTCCTCCTTGATTGTAAGCTACCAAGACAACACTGTTACTGGGAAGCATACAAGCAATATAAACAGATATCCAAACAATTAAAAAATACCAGCTCACATGCTCTTCCTTGAAGGAAGGTCAGGGGGATTTGAATGGAACGCACAGTGGTCCCTCAAGCCCAAGACCACAACACTGTAGCTTCACTGGTGTCACTGTAGGATTAGGTGCTCCCAGCACTGAACACTACGTCTAGACAAATCACAGTGAAGCCTACAGGATACATGCTGGAGTGAGAATTAGGGGAAGAAAATACTTACACCGAGTTTTTCTGAAGCAACGGTGTCTTGTCTCTGTGTAGCGGGGTAGTCACTATCACTTTCTGGCTGCACACAGGAGTGGAAGTTAAAGATGGGTTCTCAAGGTCAAGAGTGTCTTGCTTGGTCCAAAAATTCAGGAACTGCCAAAGAAAGGAAATTAGAAGAGTCGACACACATCAGCTGAATTGGATTAAGTAACGAATTGGTTTTCAAATCTATTTCAGCTTTGCGTGGCGATTCCTGAGCCCTGGATTTTACATTTTCAGTATAACATGACCAAGGACAGTTTTCCATGTTGTAAACACCTGGCCATAAGAAAGCATGGGAGGCTGTGCCTTCCTCCACCACAAGTGACTGAATCTGTGGTTGAATAGGTCCAAGACCTGTAAAATATGTCTGGAGAGTGAGGGTCTAAAGCAGTCTGTGTTATCTCTGACAAAAGTCATGTGACCAGGACACCCTGATCTTTCTTGGGATAAAGGTCTTCCAAGCTGTATACTTAAATATGTGTAGGAAGTGTAGGAAGAGTATCTAACATGACTTTAAAAAAAAATACTATAAGAAAGCAGGCTCTAAAGCAAATTTTGTGTTTCTGTCTGGTTCCCATTGATTTTACCAACTCAAGTGAGCAGATCTCCATATAAAAGCCATGTGAGCTCCAGTGAACCATTAATAAATGGGAGGACATCACTCAAGAATAAAGGGGGGATTTGCAGAAGATAAAATGTCATGCATGAAGGCGACCACTGACTCACTCTTGCTGCCCACTCTTTGCACCTCCATACCTGGGAGGGGGAGAATGGCAGCGTCTTGACAGGGGTGCTCTTAGGCGTCATGCTGTTGCAGGAGTCCTGGAAAGAGAGGTTGCCACTGGTCCACCCTTCTGGAACAGGCGAGAGCGCGACTTTCCTCTTCTTCTGCCGCTTAAGCACAGAAGGCGGTGTACCAAAGCTCATGTCCGTGCAAGGGGAGATGGGGATGAGCTCGCCCTTGCTGCCTTTGCTCAGGTCCGAAATGGTGTGGCCATCCAAACGGTACTCTGTCACGTTCTGCGAGGTGGAGGAGGGCTTGAGGGATGTTTGCCTATCTGGGCTGCTGCTGTTACTTGTAGACAGGTAGTCAGGGAGGTCAAATTGAAACAGATCACACCAACCATCTGGGTCCTGCCAGAATAGGAAAGTTCAGAACGTTTGGGAGGATAAAACTGCAGACAAAGAATGTGGCAGAGCAGAATGGGTGGCAGAATAACTTGGCACAAGTAGATTTGAGCAATTACAATGCATACCAAATGCACGACCTATGTACTGGAAACTTAGGCCTTGGATAAGGAGCAAGTTTTTTTCACCCATTCAAATCCATGCAGAAAAGCTAACTTTATGTCTAACTTAAGTCCTCTTGATTTGAATGGGAACTAAGTGCAAAAAACCAGTGCCACAATACTCTACAAACTTTGCTTGAAAAATCAATACCCAACACTGGAAAAACATGCAGCATAGCTGGGTTTCGTTTTACATATAATGGCAGGACAGTTTTAAATTGTCTCAGTCACAAATAGTAAAAACCAGTAGTAAACTGGAGGGAGGGAAAGTGCTTCCAAGAACTTTAAAGAATCCCTGCTGGATCAGACCAAACAGATATCTAATAACCATTCTGTTCCCCACAGTGGCCAATGGAAGGCTTATGGAAGGCCTGCACGCAGGACATGAATGCAACACCAACCTCCTGCTCATGTTCCCCAGCCGCTTCTGAGATTGGAAGTAGCATCCAGGCACCATGGACTAGTAGACATTGATAGCCTTTATCCTCCATGAATTTGCCTAACCAGCCTCTATAGTGGCTATCGCCCCATGCCATGAAGAAAAACTCCAGTTTAACTATGCGCTGTGTGAAGAAGTCCTCACTTTTGTCTGCCCTGAACTTGCCACCCCATTCAGCCTCAATGGATGGCTCCACATTCATGAAAAGGGAAGAAAATTCTCTTTTGCTGCACCAAGCATGGTTTTTTTCACACCTCAACTACGACCGCCCTTACTGTGCCAATTCCCTGCCGATAAGGTGGGGAGGGGATTGTTTGTGCTGCTATTTGGATGCTTTGTATTTTATAGTTAGTCACTGTTACAGTGATGATATAATAACAATTTATATTATTTATTTATTTATTTATTTATTTATTTATTTATTTATTTATGCCCCGCCCATCTGACTGGGTTTCCCCAGCCACTCTGGGTGGCTTCCAACAGAATATTAAAATACATTAAACATTAAAAGCTTCCCTAAACAGAGCTGTCTTCAGATGTCTTCTAAAAGTCTGGTAATTGTTTTTCTGTTTGACATCTGGTGGGAGGGCGTTGCACAGGGCGGGTGATTAACTTGAGATGTTTGTTGGCCCTGTTGATATTGGTGTTAAATTGTGTTGTAGCTGTTAGAGCAGTGGTTCCCAATTGGGGGTCTGCGTAACCCACCCAGGGGTTTCACGGCACCATTCATGTAACAAAAACTACCACAGATATCAAAATTTTCAAAAGTAGGGGGTCCAAGGCTTGGCATTTGCTAAAAACAGCACTTCGATAATAGGGAACCACTGCTAGAGCATTATCTTGAAACGTTTTTATATTTTATTCTGCATGTTACTGTGAGCTGCTTGGAGCATGGCTCTATCAAGGAGAAGAGGCATACAGTGGTACCTCAGGTTACAAACACCTCGGGTTACAGACTCCGCTAACCCGGAAGTAGTACCTCGGATTAAGAACTTTACCTCAGGATGAGAACAGAAATCGCTTGGTGGCGGCAGCAGGAGGCCCCATTAGCTAAAGTGCTACCTCAGGTTAAGAACAGTTTCAGTTTAAGAACAGACCTCCAGAATGAATTAAGTTCGTAACCAGAGGTACCAGTGTACAAATAAACTTGACGGTGATTATGATCATAGCACAAAAGAGCCTATGATGAGGAAAGCCTACATGCAAACTCCTCATCCCTGACCGTACTACGGAAATAGACATCAATCCACTTCTTACAGATTCAATCATGTCCAGAGCTTCTGTAATAGCTGGGGCCGTAGAGGTACACAAATAACTGCCTGCTTCGACCACCCATGTGTACTGAGATGAGCCTTCCTTCAGGTCACTGTCAGGCGCTGTGTTTTCTGATGCTCCCGCGATACTGTCGTCCGCCAGGCTTTCTGGGAGTTGCTCAGGAGGCAGCTTTGGCAGGCCAACAGATTCTTCATCCATGGCTACCTCTTGCTTTATTTCCAAGGCCTGAACGGGCCAGTCTGTCAACAAGGTTTGCTGTGGAAAGCAAATGAGGATCTGTGTGACTACTACACAACAACAATAAAAGCAAATCAAGTACACGGCTGCACTCAAAGAGCATCAAGGCTGCAAAATCAGGTACTAAAATCAGGAGCCAATGTCCAACACAGTATTCGGCAGTGCTAAATCACACCCTTCACAGTAAAAGCACAAAGTCATGAAACATTTCCGAAGCATCTAAATGAGGCTGCAGTCCTAACCCCACGGACCAGTTCTTGATATACGAGGATTATGTTGTTAAAGATTTATTTTGAAGCTTCGGTGCCAACTCCTGTTGGATTACAAAATGCAAATGAGAAGAAGTTGAGCAGTTATGATGCAAACAGTTCTGCCTTCATTGATTCCAAAACCAGCATCTTGGCTACAAAGAAAACTCCTGCTTTCATCTGCCGTTTGGATCCCTGAATAAAAAAAGTGAGTGGATTTTGCAAGATGCTTTGCAAATGTAAAACCGAAGTTTGCAACCTTATTCCAACGTACCAAAGAAAAGGCAGATTAATTTAAGGCCGTATAGAATATTGTGACACTATCACCTGGAAGTTTGCGTAAATATATTCTCTGTTTAATAAAGTTTTCAGAGGCATAAAAATGCTTTGCAATACCTGGCTTTCAACTTCTTGTGCAGTTTGGCTTTCCTTTCCTTCCACCTCCACCAGGAGATAGAGGGGTTTAGAGTCTTTTGCTTCGCTAAGAAAAGCCTCCTGTCTCCACCTTCCTTTTGATTGTGGAATTCCAGTGGTTTTTCACAGCATTGTCTGTCCTGTAAAGTAGAAAGCGCACACACATCATTGAAAAGTGACTCACAAGAGGAGAAGCATCCTAGGAACAGACGAAGCTGCCTTGGGCCAAGTCAGACCATTGATTGGTCCATCTAGGTTAATAATGTCTACACTGATTGGCAGTGACTCTCCAGAGTGCTAGACAGGGCTTTCTCCCGGCACCAGGGGTTGAACCTGGGATCTTCTGCATGCAAAGCAGATGGCCACCCACCAACCTCCTCCATTTTCTTGTTTGATAGATCCATCCCAGTATGGGACAGAAGAATGCAAAGGTCCGTAAGGAACCTACCTCCCAGGCAGCAACTTCGCAATTTCAGCCCAGCGGTTCCCCAAAACCTTGTGAGCCTCACAAATGATACGGTCTTCTTCCTCTGTCCACGATGACTTTTTCACCTCCGGGTTCAGGTGGTTGTGCCAGCGTTCTCTACACTGCTTGCCCAGCCGGCCTTTCAAGTGCTTGGCTATGAGCGTCCATTGCTTTGTGCCATACTTCTTCACTAATTCAGTGACCTCATAAGGGGGGAAAGGATGGATTGTTATTCACTGTGTGATCACGGTGGCAGACTCCATCCTCACTGTGCATTAAAGGGAAAAGGGAAAGGACCCCTGGACAGTTAAGCCCAGTCAAAGGCGACTATGGGGTTGTGGCGCTCATCTCGCTTTCAGGCTGAGGGAGCCAGCGTTTGTCCACAGTTAGTTTTCCAGGTCATGTGGCCAGCATGACTAAACCGCTTCTGACACAATGAAACACTGTGACGGAAGCCAGTGCACATGGAAACTCCATTTACCTTCCCGCCGCAGCGATACCTATTTATCTACTTGCACTGGCATGCTTTCGAACTGCTAGGTTGGCAGGAGCTGGGACAGAGCAACAGGAGCTCACCCCATCACGGGGATTCAAACCACCAAACTTCTGATCAGCAAGCCCAAGAGGCTCAGTGGTTAAGAACACAGCACCACCTGCATCCCTCATCACTGTGCATATGTTCAACGCTACCATTCTATAATTCTACCCAGAAGAAAAATTCTTCTGAGTTCAGTGCAAGAGTGTAAGATTCAACCGAATAGCTGCAGGGAGCCTGTGCATGTACGATGCAAAGGGCTCTCTCAATAAACCTGGGTAGCTTGCAAAAGCAGAGCTCCTGACTGGGTTGAGAATATCCAATGTGTGTAGTTGTGTGTGTGTGTAGGCTCCCCGCAGCCACTGATTTGCGGGGGGGGGGGGTGTAGACCTCACCATCCCACACCGCAGCGCTGCTCAACAGGATTGCATTGAAACAATAACATGAGCTTCTGTGCTTGCTACCTTATTAATACATTGCTGTTTCACAATTGCCCAACTTAACAGCCATTAGCGTTAGATAACTCATGTTTGATTTCTACCGAGCAACCTGAGTTACTTTACCCTAAGGACAGTGCCATGACTGCATGGAGTGTACAAACACATGTTACCAAGTTACTAAAAGTGCAAGCCTATTTTGCTGGAACTTACTCCCTAGTAAAAGCACACAGGACTGCAACCTTAGGATAGCAGCTGATGGTGGAGAGTTAAGACAGCATGGTGCTCTGTGTGTTTTTAAGGGTGATATTTAAGAATTAAATCAGAGTCTTACCAAAAAGCTGTTAGGAATCTGTACCACGGTCAAAATAGACCCTGTATTTGATAGATGAAGAGTGGCAGCCTGTACTGCAGGATCTTTCAAATACCAGGATTCTAGGGAGAGATTCTACCTGCAAGATGGAATTCTAATTTCTTCAATTATAAGAGACACATGTTGAGAAATAGTTACCTTCTGATCTTCTTGTTTAGTCCAAGGACCTTTAACCAGGACAGGGTTTAGCACCCGAAGCCAGCGATATTGACACTGCTGCTCAGTGCGGTTCTATGAGCAAATGTAAATAAGTACATGCTAAAGTGAAGATTGATAAGGCAGGCATAAAGAGAAACCAAAAGTATCAGGCAGAGAGATTTTTTTTAAACTAGCAGCTTGATCTTTTGCAACTCTGCCATACCCCTCTCTGCTCCAAAACACCCCACCAGCAAAACCTTCCACTCTGTTGAAAAACTCCACTTACAGGAAACTGACTTGCTAGGAACTTCCAGTCATGTCCAAACTGTGTCACCAGTGAATTCAAGAGCTCATCCTGCAAAAAAGCAAAGCCATCAGCTTTGGCACACAAGTAACATATACAGTATGTTGTTTCATTACCTAAGTTATGTATTTCAGGAACAATATAACGGAATTTACCAAAACAGAAGTTGTGACACCATGACATCATGAGATACAGCACAGCAAGGAAAGGAATAGAGGTTTGACCTTCAACACAGCATTCCAGCTACTTCTATGTGCCACCCAGAAAACAGAGCTGCTAGCTAGAAACTAGATCTTGTGTTGCACTCTGAAGCAGCAGGGTGCTATAGCGGAAAGCAGGACGAACTGGGTAGCTCCATCTTATTTGTCAGGGACAGAATGCCTATTTCGCAGTTGCTCCAGGAGCCTCTCCTCATGGCACAATAGCTAAGATGGTAATAAAAGCCCGGTCTTTAACAAGATACACACATACACACAAGTCCATTGGTTCATATTTTTTCCCACTCTGTTTGGCCAATTTGGGACAAGTAATGCTATATGTATTCCAACAATTTGACATGCAATACTTTAACCACAGAACTTTGGCCTCCGGAGAATGTCTGGGTTTGTTTGCATTTAAAAGCAAGTTTCTAGTCCTCATGAAAGTAGGGAAAGCAGCAGGAGAGAAGAGGGGAACATGGCTGGAATAGGCAAATTATGCATTCCATTTCCCATTTTATTTCTTTATTGGATGCGTATACAAGGACTTCTGTAAGGATTTTCAAAGTAGCACATACTGCATGTCAGCAAAGCGTTTTCCATTCAGCTAAGCTCCCCAAGGCCACACACCCTACTTTCCTCAACACAATCTACACAAGACATACCTCTTCACGTGACCACTTGACTTTGCATCTGTTATCCCGCCGTTCAGATGCATCTGAATCTTGGTAATGCAGTTGATCTTGCTCTTCACTATTGCAAACAAAATTTAAAAGCAAATGGGGAAAAAGAGCATGTAAGTATCTTGCTTTACAGATTTTTAATTACCCCCCCCACCCATATTCTACCACCGACTAGAATCTCCAGCCCATACCTCAGAACCCATTGAAACAATACAAAGGAGAAAGATAGGTAGGTAGATAAAAACAAATACTTAAACTTCCTTCATTGTGAACATGAGCATGCATCTGCTGGTTTGCTACAGGGCCAGGTTCAAGGCACTTGTGGTAATTCACGAAGTCCTAAACAACTTGGGGACAAAGTAGTTTAAGGACCGGACTCCTTATGCTCTACTTTGATCTCCAAGATCTTCTGCACCCATGAGGTTCAGCTGAACTTCACTGGGGCTGAGGCTTTAGTGTGGCAGGCCCTGCCCTATAGAATTTGCTACCAGCAGAATCACAGAACTATAGAATTGTAGAGTTGGTCCAACCCCTACAATGCAGGAATCTTTTTGCCCAACATGGGGCTCGAATCCAGTACCCTGAGATTACCGTATTTTTCGCACCATAGGACGCACTTTTTCCCTCCTAAAAAGGAAGGGAAAATGTGTGTGCGTCCTATGGAGCGAATGCAGGCTTTCGCTGAAGCCTGGAGAGTGAGAGGGGTCAGTGCGCACCGACCCCTCTCGCTCTCCAGGCTTCAGGAAGCTATCCGCTAGCCGTGGGAGACCCAGCTCTCCCACGGCTAGCGGAGCGCTGCATTAATCCCGAAGCTTGGGGCGTGCGGAGCTCAGCGCGCCCCAAGCTTCTGGGTGCCGGCAAGGTCTCCGCTAGCCGTCTAGCGGAGACCTTGCCGGCACCCAGAAGCTTGGGGCGCGCTGAGCTCTGCATGCCCCAAGCTTCGGGATTAGCGCTCTGCTAGCCATGTCTAGGCTGCGGATAGCAGCCTGCTTCCCGGAGCGTCGGGCACCCTGCAAGCAGAGCGCCCGGCGCTTCGGGAACACATCCGCAGCGTGGGGAGCCTTGCAGGAGTTCCCCGCAAGGCTCCCCACGCTGCGGATAGCAGCCTGCCGCTCGGCGGGTGGGGCGCCCTGAAGCAGAGCGCCCCTCGCGCCAGGCATACATCCGCAGCGTGGGGAGCCCTGAAGCAGTTCCCCGCAAGGCTCCCCAAGCTGCAGATAGCAGCCTGCCACCCGGCGGGTGGGGCGCCCTGAAAGCAGAGCGCCCCTCACGCCAGGCATACATCCGCAGCGTGGGGAGCCCTGCAGCAGTTCCCCGCAAGGCTCCCCAAGCTGCGGATAGCAGCCTGCCGCCCGGCGGGTGGGGCGCCCTGAAGCAGAGCGCCCCGCGCGCTAGGCAGACATCAGCCAGCCCCACAAGCTTGGGGGACAGCAGGGAGGCGCAGCGCCACTATCCCGCTGTTCCTCGACCTGGTTCGGTTTCCCTGACCTGCTTTTGGGGGGGAAATAAAGGGGAAAAAATTTTCCTTTATTTCCCCCCCAAAAAACTAGGTGCGTCCTATGGTCCGGTGCGTCCAATCATGCGAAAAATACGGTAAGTGTCTGAGCTTAATCCTTCAGCAGTAACCACCCAGGCCTGCTTTTAGGTAACTTCTGAAAACTGTACTATTGTTTGACAGGCCACTGCAATATGAATTTCCCCTTTTACCCAATCAGTACTGATGTTTTGGACAGATTTTACTGTAACTTTTGTACCTTTATGGAAAGGATAGATTACAAACACTTCAATAAATTAAATAAAAATAAGCGGCCTTAAGCATGTGCCCTCATAAGACATTTAGTGGGACTTACTAGAAAGTAAGGAGAGTTCAGAATTGCAGCTTTAGACGGAAATAAAAGGTTAAGAAACAGAGAAGAACAAGCAGTGGGGGAGAAGGCTCCATATATAATTTTATATGTTATTTCAAAACCACTGATTCCATTTGCAAATCCAGCTGCTGTCCTCATCTTTGGAATTGTCTCTCTCTGGAGGCTTACCAAAGCACAAGACATTGTTATTCCAACAGATTTTTGGTAGCCACAGTTTTGGTAGAACAGTCACCGTATGACTCACCAAGTCACTATATGACTCGCCCAAGTCCTCAAGATCAAGTGGGATATACACCCAACCAAATAAACTAAATTAAAACAACACCACTAGGGGTAGGTAAAAACCTCATCCAATCTCTCAGCCAGTTAGAATATTCATGAATATTTTTATGGAAGGATTCAAAAAGATCCCTGCACAAATATTCCTAGTGGGCAAAGCGGCTTAGGCTAGGGCTGGTAAGTCCAAGACCCTCAGATGTTGTTGGGCTACAACTCCCTCACTCCTGACCATTGGCCTCGCTGGCTGGGGTTAATGGGAATTGGAGGCCAACCCACGTCCTTGGGCCACAGGTTCCACATCCCTAAGGTAAAGGTAAAGGGACCCCTGACCATTAGGTCCAGTCGTGACCTACTCTGTGGTTGCGGCGCTCATCTTGCTTTATTGGCCGAGGGAGCCGGCGTACAGCTTCCGGGTCATGTGGCCAGCATGACTAAGCCGCTTCTGGCGAACCAGAGCAGCACACGGAAACGCCGTTTACCTCCCCGCCGGAGCGGTACCTATTTATCTACTTGCACTTTGACGTGCTTTTGAACTGCTAGGTTGGCAGGAGCAGGGACTGAGCAACGGGAGCTCACCCCGTCGCCGGGATTCGAACCGCCAACCTTCTGATCAGCAAGTCCTAGGCTCTGTGGTTTAACCCACAGCACCATCCGCGTCCTTCCACATCCCTAGTTTGGCCCAAAAGCAGGAATCTAGGCCACTTACATGTGCAGTGCTTATTTAGAGTGTTAGACTAGACCAGGGTCCAAATTCCCCCTCAACCATGATGGCTGGTCTCCCAACCTAATGCACCTCACAGGTAACTTGCTGTGTGGCTCAACAGGGAAAGGGGACATCCATGCACACCATTTTAAACACCTTGGAAAAAATGTGAGCTATAAACGCAACACCAAATAATATAAGTAATGCCATGCTGCCTTTCACACATCATTGTTGTTGTTGTTTAGTCGTTCGTGACCCATGGACCAGAGCACGCCAGGCACTCCTGTCTTCCACTGCCTCCCGCAGCTTGGTCAAACTCACAGCACCCTAAATGGCCAGAACATTCCCAGTAGTCTCCTCACAGATACAGTGTGTCTACTCAGAAGTAAGCGCTATTGAATTCAGTGGGGCCTACCCCGCCCAGTAAAGTGAGTTTAGGATGCAGCCATAAGCCATGATTTTTCACAGCTTTCCCAACTACCCCCACCTGGTAGCTGGACCTGGCAGTCCTCATATAACAACCATTAGGTCCACCATCCAGGCAATCCCAATTCAAGTCTTTGCCAGCTCGTTATCAGTTCCTCTCCTTGCTTTAGCACCAGAAGGCCTCTAAACAAGATCTGGGGGGGTCCCGCTCCAGACTGTGGCCCACGATCCCTTTCATAACCGAACTGCTCTTCCTTGCAAAAGGGATCAGCTTAATACTAATAATGATGATGAAAAAGGACAAAATAGATCACTAGGGAAAGCAGAGTGACGCTCTTCCTTTCTCCCTCCCGCACCGCTTGGCGCAAAAGAGCCAAGTTCCTCTCCCCGCCCTTGCAAATTCACGCGGGCCATTTTAAGCACCTTTAAAGCAGCTTTAAGCAGCTTTCTCCCTTTCAGATCGCGGCAAATAAATCATCCGCGATATAATTTTACAGATCTATCCCTGTGTATGCTCCACTACCGTGGACGGTGAGTCAATCAGTTGGGGGGGAAGGGGGGGGGAGGAGAGAAAGGAAAAGAAAACAGGCGGGGAATGGATTTCCCACCACCTTTCCAACCCATCCCAAACTATGCCTCCAAAAACAGCTGCAATATTCTCTTTTCCCGCCCCCCGCCTCAAATGCAACTCACCAGCGAGCCCTGCGAGACATCCTGCCTTTTTCCCCTCTGCGTTCAAATCATGCGATGGCCAAAAATAATAATAAAATGAAACTTCCAAAAGAACAGAAAAGGCTACCAGAACTTGGAGGGGGGTGGGGGGACGGATGCCGCTAAAGGACCCCCTCTGAATAGCGCGCGCAAGCCAGGCTGCTGCTGCTGCTACTGCTGCAGCTCCGTGGCTCGCGCCCGCCCGGGACTCCGAAAAGCACTTTCCTATCTCGCGCCAACTCCGCCCCAGCCAGCCACCTTTTCCGGCGGAGTGACGCTGCGCGCGCGCGAGGCTGACGACACACAGGGTATTCTTGGGAGGGAAAAAGAGGAGGCGGAGGAAGAAGAGGTGGGAAGGGCAAAAAAAAAAAAAAAGTGGCGCGCGCGGGCAAGTTGCAGCTTTGTATACTGTATTATCTCTATCTATAAAGTTTTTATTTTCCTTTTTAAAGGAGAAGTCTGATCCAAATCTAAGAAAGTGAAATATGGTGTTGCGACACTGCAGCAAGCAATGAAGAAACAAAAGCCAAAATGCTTACGTGGGAAATAAGATGGGTGCAATCGGTTTCTCATTATTATTTCAATAGGCGAAATCATCATCATCATCATCATTATTATTATTAAGTGCTACATTTATTAAACAGACTGTATTTGTGGATTGCAGGTATTTATATAACCCGCCTCTTTATTTTGGTTTTTTTTTTCTCCTGTTAAGGAAAATACGTGTTGAATGAGCAGCGTCCCTTTTTCCTTTCACTTTTAGAGTTCGCTTATTAGCACTGCTAAAATGTAACTTTTCCCGTTAATGAATTCTGAGGCGGGGGTGGTTTCTTAGGGTTAGTGGACGGCGCTTCCCGCTTTCCGGTTTTACTTTTATCCTGCCCTTCCTCCAAGAGGTTAGAGTAGAGGAGTTCGGAGTGTCGATGCTGCGCACAAACTCCGGGCCATTTTGTCCTCCTAACAACCCTTTGAGGTAGGCAAGGGGCTGAGAGAAAGTGACGGGTCCCAGCAAACCCTAAGCGAGCTTGACGGAGGAGACTCTTAGGTCCAACAATTAACCCTACACAGCTTCCCTCTATCATTGCGACCCTAGGATTGCAATGCTTGTTTCTAGCAGGGCATCTGCGTCTTTCATTACTGCTGCGCAACAGGCAGAAATTCAAGAGGCGCTGCCTTTTTCCATCCTCCACTAGTTCAGTGCTGGGAAAGCTTCACTCATTGGATTTCTGCCTGCCATTGAAATGTTAAAAGCTGAGAAAGCCCCTGCAAGAGAGAAAAAGTGCCCGAAGGAGTATTGTGCCTTAACAGACAGATGAACACAAAGTCAGTAAGGGGGTAGCAAGTTGCCAATGAGATCAAGAGGTGGTACAGGGAAAGAGAACCTATGGTCCTCCAGATGTTGAACTCCTATTGAGTGCAGCTGCTATAGGCAGTGGAGTTGTAGTCCAGTCCAACAACATCTGCAGGCAGTGCCGGATTTACATATAGCTATAGCTTAGGGCTCCACTCTCTTGGGGGCCCCCCAAAAAAATGGATGTACATTTCCAAAATATAAGATAAAAAACAAATAAAATAAAACCTACATACAGCAGCAGTGTTTTGTGTTGTGTAGGCTCCTATGAGGTAAGTAATGGGCCCCGCCTGCTCCCTAAATTATCACTGGTTTGCTCATTTCTATATATAGTGTGCCTACATTCTGCATGTGCAAATGACTTTAGATATCTATTTGTTGTTGTTTAGTCATTTAGTCGTGTCCGACTCTTCGTGACCCCATGGACCAGAGCACACCAGGCACTTCTGTCTTCCACTGCCTCCCACAGTATATTCAACACAAAAACCAGCAACAATTTGCGGTTGACAAAGGACACCTGGACATATCAAGGGCCCCATTACCTTCAGTAGCTTAGGGCCTCATCAAACGTAAATCCAGCCCTGTCTTCAGGGCAGCTTAGTTGCCTGTTCCTCTTATTTCTTTGCAAAGAAAGAATGCTGATTGTATTACAATATCAGGTTTCCCTTTGTTTCATTATCACATGACACAGTTACTCCATTAAATGTAGATACATATCGCTTCTTCTCCCCCTTGCTTCCAGTAGGTGATAGGAAGATAAGCAGCTTGGGAGGCGTCAAGAACTACCTCTCCCCATATGAACTGACCTGGACCCAGCAGTTATAATCTGAGGCCCTTCTTCATGTGCCTCTTCTGCGAGAGGTCCAGAGGGTGGCAACACAAGAAGGGGCCTTTTCTGCAGTGGCTCCCCATTTGTGAAATGCTCTCCCCAATGAGGTTTGCCTGGTGGCTAAGTTGCATATCTTTAGGCGCCAGGCAAAAAACATTCCTCTACTCCCAGGCCTTTGGCTAATTAAACAAGCTACGACCTTTTAAAAGTGTGTGTGTAATTGATTGTTACTAATTACAAGTAGGTAGCCGTGTTGGTTTGCCGTGGTCGAAACAAAATAAAAAAATTCCTTCCAGTAGCACCTTAGAGACCAACTAAGTTTGTTATTGGTATGAGCTTTCATGTGCATGCAGACTTCTTCAGATATCAATAACAAACTTAGTTGGTCTCTAAAGTGCAACTGGAAGGAATTTTTTTATTTCGTTTTGATTGTTACTAAGTTGTGCATTTTTGTGTTTTTATATTGCAAGCTGCCTTGTGATCCTCGGGTGAAGGGCAGTGTAGAAATTTAATAAATAACAAGTAATAAAGAATAATTGAATAAAAAATCAAGTCATTTATTTCCTCAAAGCATGACTTCTTCACTGTACTAAATGTACAGGTCAGTTACTTGCTCCTGCAGTTGTTAAAAACAATAGCAAAGCTTTCGTTCCCATCGGGTGGTTTCTCAAAAGAAAGCAAAACTCAGACATGATGTACTGTGCTGAGCTTGTACCTGCTTAGCCTTGAACAAGTCATTTTTCCCACGGACTATTATGAAAATAAAAATAGGCTAATCTCCCTGCTGCATGCCGCATATTTGTGGTGATGTCCGATAGGTGGGATCTTGTGGGTCCTTTTGCTGAGATGACTCCTTGTCATCCAGCCTAGGAGGGAGCCCTTGACATGGAAAGGAGCCATGGTGGTTGCCTGAGGCAGAGAATTCCTCTCATCCTAACAGATGTTCTTGGAACAGCATGTACCGTGGTCATAACAAGAAGAATAGCTTTTATCTGATTTACAGCCAGCCACCAGTCTGGTGTTGGTTACACCCACTCCCACTGAATCTCAGACTCATTTGCACCATGCATGATAATGCGACACACCCAGTGGAGACTATTGGCCCTTTAATCCCTTTGTTGTTGTTGTTTTTTTAAAAATACTCTCTAATGTTGGGAAGACCACTTTATGCATCTGATAAAGTGGACTCTAGCCTCTGAAAGCTTCTATCACAATACGTCTGTTAGTCTTTAAGGTGCCACTGAAGTTCTTCCTAAGGGTATAAACTATATTTGGTATAGGTCTGATGTATTTCAGCAACTAAGGTGCCCCAATTGAAAGATCCGTACCTGCAAAATGAAGGCAGGCACTAATCAGCAAAGTAAGGGATTTCCAGAAGTCTTATATCTGGAAATAAGTCCCATTGACCTCAATGGACTTTGCACTGTTAACCATTTTGTCAAGATTAGATATTTGTTGTCACTGCCAGTAGATGGCGCTGATGTTTCTTATAAACTCAACAAATGAAACCGATTTGTAAAAAAAAGTTACATTAAAAAAAATATGAGAGAGAGAGAGAGATTGCACATACCTTTCTATATCAAGAAAATCTTTAAGCACCCTTTATTTTAATGTGGCTCTGTTGATTTGAAAGGCAACACTCAGCTATCATATGCATTCTAGGTGCCACCACAAATGCAACTGCAGGATAGGCAATCCATGTGGTTTGTGCTTTCTTAGGAGTTGGGGGTAAGAAAGCATGTGTAAGTTAAAAGTAAGTCCCTTTGAGTTTAATGGGAATTTAGGCTGCAGTCCTTCCTAGGGAGTAAGCCCTGTGAATTCAGCAGGCCTTAACAAACGTGTTGGAGTGTACTGCATGGAGTGCATGGAACAGCAGCCTAAGGCACTGAATTTTTGTGGGACTTGCTTTTGACTAAAAATGCATCGGCTAGGCCTTTGTAGCACTGTGTTTCAACACATCAACCAGAATGATCCACCTTCAACAAAGTGACAGACAGGTTCCATGATTATGTAGCTCACTCCTTTTTTTAAAAAAAGTTAGCTTTATTTTTTTTAATGTATTTTTATTAAAGATTTTCTTGATTTACAAAGGTATGTGCAATGTCTCTCTTTTTTTTACATGTAACATTTTTTTACAAATTGGTTTCATTTGTTGAGGCAGTAGGAAGAAAATAGGGAAAGAGGTGGAGTGGGGGAAAGATGAGTGGGGTGGGGTTGGGTTGGTAATGTTTCTATTTTACTTAATATATGTGGGGTTTTGTGTCAGCGTTGCTTGTGCAGGTTCTTTGCTGTTCCTTTGGTGTGTTCCTTTGGTGGTGAGAGAGGTTAGACACAATAAAAAAAAGATGAGAGGATGACATTGGCTATGAAATTAACCCCACTCAATGGACCAAATGTGGTCTAAACCCCCCTTTAAATCCATATCAACAGAAAGAAAAGAACTCACTCTGAAAATCACCTACAGGTGGTACCTAACACCAAGAAAACTAGCGCTAATACGCCCAGGAACCTCACCAAAATGCTGGAGAGGGGGCACCTCCACAGGCACATACCTCCACATGTGGTGGGAGTGTCCCAAAATCCAAGTATTCTGGACAACAACCATACGAGAAATATGTAAAATAACCAAGCAAGTATTAGAAATCACCCCAGAATTGGCCCTACTAAACATCTTCCAAGGACAACAGTGCCCACTTACACCACAAAGAACTCATTACCCACCTACTCTCAGCAGCCAGAAACATCATAACCAGACACTGGAGAGACCTGTCAGTAGCTCACTCCTTTGGAGCACAGGTAGGTAGCCGTGTTGGTCTGCCGTAGTTGAAACAAAATTCAAAAAATTCTTTCCACACACAAAAGCTCATACCAATAACAAACCTAGTTGGTCTCTAAGGTGCTACTGGAAGGATTTTTTTTCCTTTTGAGAATTTATATAGAATTTATATAGAATCATGTTGTTTATGGCACCCGTCTTTCTCAGAAGACAATGGAGGAGTGTGCCTTTGGGGGTGAAGTCAAGCTGTTGGACATGGAATCTCAGAATCATGGAGTTGGAAGGGACCTCGGAGGGTTATATAGTCCAACCCCCTGGAATGCAGGATTTATTAATTTATTAATCTGTCCCTTTGCTTCAGTGTGTGAGAAAGTGCCTATCTCTGTGTGTTGGTTCAGCAAACACTTTGAAAACACATTTCACATTCACTTATTTTTTAAAAATGCACATTGTCCTAATGGCCAGGGTATGCACCATGACTGCTGTTTACTCAGATGTAAATCCCATTGAGTCCAATGGGTCTTACTCGCAAGCAAACATGATTCTTCTGTATCACTGAAGCCCATTATGTTTCTCTGCACTGCATTCCTCTCATACTGAAATGCAAAATAGCTCATAAGATGGAGAGAGCCACCACCTCCCCCGTTGCCTAGGCAACCAGATAAAGAAAGGTGCTAGCTTTCACATGTGCCTTCTGGCAAGTATTCTTTTAACACTCACTCCCCCAGCAATACAGCAAGAAATTGTCTAGAGAAACAGAAAGAATTGTCTAGAGAAAACAGAATGTGGTTCTATAAAGTCACAGAAACATTTCTACTCAAAGTAGGATCTCTTGTTTTGCGAATTTTGTATAGAAACACTTATTTCTCCCCAGCCTGAGTTTCAAGGCCATCTCCACCCCCATCGTTCAGCCTGGACACTAAGATCCAGCGCCGAGGTTCCCTCATTGTGAGAAGTGAGGTTACAGGGAACCAGACAGAGGGCCTTCTCGGTAGTGGCACCCGCCCTGTGGAACACCCTCCCTTCAGATGTAAAGGAAATAAGCATCTATCCTCTCTTTAAAAAACATCTGAAGGCAGCCCTGTTTAGGGAAGTTTTTAATATTTAATGCTATATTGTTTTTAACACTTGATTGGAAGCCGCCCAGAGTGGCTGGGGAAACTCAGCCAGATGGGCGGGGTATAAATAATATATTATTATTATTATTATTATTATTATTATTATTATTATTATTATTCACCATCCAGCTGCCCGCCATATCTTTTGGACTGGAACTCCCATCAAGCCCCAGCCAGCACAGAGGGCGTCAGGTTGAGGAGGGCTCACCTAGGCTGTTTAACAGCTTCATAGCATACAACAGGTGTAGCAGTCATCTCATCAATACATCTCCATGCCAAGAGGAACTGCACCCACGGTATTACCGCCTGCTATGCCGCTGGTAAAGAAGCAGGAGTAACAGTGCTAATTTGACCAAGGGGTTCAATTGTGCCTTCACTAGCTGCAAAATGAGTAATACTGGAGAAAATGATAGCTGAAAGCTTGTCACTGTTTTGTGACATCTTGCTTGGTCCTAATAAAAGTATTGCTTTTAAAATAGATTAAAATTCAGGTTTTTTTGCTTATGGACCAACTCATTTCCCTTTGATTTTTGTGCCCTGGAGAATTTAACAAACCTAGCCGTTCCCGGAGGGGTCTACATACAGAGGAAGTTTTAATTTCTTTTCTGCCACGTTTTGAGGATTACATCCCCTTAAACCTACAGAATTTGTCTTCAATTGTCTCTTTTCACCCAAATTGATCTCCAGCTATGCTAATATAAAGGCAAACATGTTTCTCTCTACTTCTGCTTAACCAGAAACCTGTGCATTTTACTGGCGGTGCAGGACAATCTGGGTAACAGACAGGCTTTATGGTGATTTAAAATAGGGAGCCACCACGGCTTCTTTATCCCAACATCTTTGGTATGTAATCTGATGTCTGTAGCATCTAAAGGAGGCTTTTCCAGTGTACAACAGCCAGCTTAACACTATTTCCGGCTGCACTATTTTATGACATTTCAGTTTGTCCTAATAAAAGTATTGCCCAGTGGTAGCCAATTCATACAATGGCACCTTAATCACTCATCAATATTATTACAGCATAAGCATTTGCGGACTAGATTGCACATGGTGATAAAGGTTGAGCAGTTGTAAGCAGTGAGGCCAGAGGGAATAAAATGTAAGTACTGTAATAATATAATGACAGTTCAGTTACAGCTAAAATGCATGCACAGTGACTCTTGACAGCAGAGGTGAGAGGTGATAAAACAATCAACTTAGTAATGGCCAAATTAATTAACATCTATAGTGGGGAAAAGAAATATGGCTTCTATTCAGACCCAAATGAATAGAGCTGAACTTCTTGATCAATTGCAATTCAGTTGCTTCCGTCCTCAGGAAATAGTTGCAATTAATACTTTTAAGCTCTGCTGGTTGAAAGATCCAGGTTGTATACTTAAGGGGAAGAAAATTGTTGCAGGGTTGATGGCTAAAACAGTTTCAGGTGGTGTCTTCCAAACACCCTTGCAAACTAGCTTAATTAGAAAATTAAGAAAGTGTGCCACAATCTGTCATGAGGATTTATAAGAATCAGCTGTAGTGGTGCTACTTAAGAAGATTGCTGTTTATGAGGGGGGAAAGTAAGTAAAACTCTTAGAAGTGGGTTTTGATAAGTAAAGAAACCTACAGTATTAAAAATAAGTGATTGCCTTTATTAGTTTAAAGGTTTTTTTGGGGGGGTGGTGGAATAAGTTTAGCTTAGTAGTAAAGTATTGATATTAAATTAGGAAGCTATCACTTCAGACCTAAGCCAGCAGAACTTCAGTTTTCTAGTTATTAGCCAGATCTCTTCCTTTGACTCATGAATTCAGCTGTGAAACTATATTAGCTTTTTCTGAACTGTGTCTATTTTTGGTTATGATCTTGGGCAGAAGAAATAACTGCTTTTCTTATTCTGGGGAGATTGAAGTATACCCTGTTAAGTTCTTGACTTCTTCTTTTTTTAAAAATGTCTTTGTTCCCTTGTCAGCTTCCTCTACTCTAGGCTTTGCAGAGAAACTTGCCTTTGTAGAGGAGTATGCAAATTTCAGGCCAGTGGGGGGCAGTGTGAAGACTTGGCTTTTGGCTTTGCTGTGTTGCAGGGCCAACCCCCTAGCATTCAATGGAGTGAGGCAACTGCCGATAGGCAGTGGCAGTGGCAAGATGTTGTAAGGCTAATAATAATAGTAATAATAATAATTTTTTATTTATACCCTGCCCTCCCCAGCCAAGGCCGGGCTCAGGGCGGCTAACAAGCAATAATAAAAATAAGTTGAATGAATGCAACTTAAAAACAAAATTAAAATACAACATTAAAATAATATTAAAATGTAGCCTCATCGCAGGAGGAGAAAGGAAAAGAAAAAAAGAAAGAGGGGGAGGGAATCAAATTGGCTCCAAGCCAAAGGCCAAGCAGAACAACTCTGTCTTACAGGCCCTGCGGAAAGAAATCAGATCCTGCAGGGCCCTGGTCTCATGAGGCAGAGCGTTCCACCAGGCTGGAGCCAGTGTTGAAAAGGCCCTGGCTCTGGTTGAAAATAATCTAACTTTCTTAGGGCCCGGGACCACTAGGGTGTTGCTGTTTATGGACCTTGAGGCTCTCCGTGGGGCATACCGGGAGAGGCGGTCCCGTAGGTACAAGGGTCCTAGGTTGTGAAGGGCTTTAAAGGTCAAAACCAGCACCTTAAATCTGACCCTGTACTCCACCGGAGCCAGTGCAGCTGGAAAAGCACTGGGTGAATATGCTCCCATGGCAGAGACCCCGTGAGGAGCCTCGCTGCAGCATTCTGCACCCGCTGGAGTTTCTGGGACAGCTTCAAGGGCAGCCCCGCATAGAGTGAATTACAGTAGTCAAGTCTAGGGCTCTGTGGGCAACACACAGCTTGTCATGCTCCTGTTAAACTAGTTTAGTATAATATTTTCTACATTAGTTGGCAGCGGCTTTCCGGGGTTTCAGACAATAGACTTTTCCCAGCCTTACATGGAGGCCATAGGTGCCAACTCCCTGGGACCCTGGGTGCCCAAGCACCCACAAAATTCTCCATGAAGGGTCCAGGCACCTACAGATTTTGATGCCAAGGAGCATACATGCTGTATGGCACCCACAGCCCCTGGCACCCATGGTCGTGGGGCCAAGTTAGCACTCCTGGTGCAGGCAGCAGAGGGTTGAATTAGGAATCTTCCGTTTGCTCCACCTCTGAGCTCCGACTCCCCATTGCCAGTGTTAAAGCAAGATTCTGCTCCCAGTCCAGTAGTTCCCTGCCCATAGAACTGTGTGTGTGTGTCTGTTTTGGGTGAATGCCATATTGTCTTTTACATCAGGCAGCAAAATGTTTTGGGCCATACCTGCAAGGTTGGAACAGCTCTGACACCTACAAAAATGGCTGCCCAACATTGTTTCAGACAAGTATTGGAGCAAACTTGATTAATTTAAACCTAAGTCACAGGAGCCAGCTCCTAGGGACCAAGGTCCCTTTGCCCCCACAATAAAAAATTTGAGGGGGCTGCCCCCCCCCAAGTTGATGGGCAGTGCCATTCAAATGGTGTGTGTGTGCCGTGTCATGTGATTATATGGGGCAGGGCTTACCTGCCTCCCCACCCCAATATTTTATTTAAGTTGACACCCCTGACCTAAGTCCATTTTAGTGAATGCACATTTTTCCCTAGTGTTAAATTTTAGGCTGGAGGCTCTTGATGGCAAAAACCTGCCCTCTTGGACTTTTAAGTGCTAGATACATAATATCTTTGCTATAATCCTATACATGCACAAAGCATATTCTGAATAAATAAGCTTTGGATCACGCTGCAGGATGAAATAAAATTACCTGGCATTAGTAGAGAAACAGCAAGTGTCTAAATCTAGTTTGTAACTTGGGGTGATGGGTCACTGAATAAACAAAACTCCTTTGAATTCCATCTCCAGGTGCCCCTAGGATCCTGAAGACTGACGTCTTTTCCTTGGGAACCAAAAAATGTCTTCTCAAAACTGTTCTAGTTCTCTGTCATTGAAAGACGTATTCGAAAATGGATTTCTGATTGGTGCTTCTGGTTACAGCATCTCTCCGGGTAGCAGCTGTTTCCTAGAAATGAGCAGCATCCCCCAGCCTGATGCATGTGACAGTGCAAGCAAGATGCAGAATGTGACAAAGGGAAGCTCTCTGGCTCTAAAGGCAACAGACTCCTCCATCAGCAGCACAAAGGAGAACCTGCAGGCCTCATCGGATGCTCTTACATCTTTCTGCAAGACTCCCATCCAGCCATGCGCCTTTGACTTGTCAAGCTCAAGCTCTGCAAATGACAGCAAAACCAATTACACAGAGGGTGTGTTCCACAATACCAAATCTTCTACTCCATGCAGGGAAGATAATCCCTCTAAACCGACAACTGAGAATATGTCGAAGGGCTCTGAAATAAATGATGTTGCAGTCTTCAAGAAGCCGCCACCGCCACCACCAATATTGGAGATCTCTGGAATACAAGCCACTCTGGGCAATGTACTTTCTCCCGAAGCAAGCTTAGAAGAATTTGGGTCCCTGGGCTCTGTGAAGCTTGATACACCATCTCTGGAGATGTCAAACCTTGCCATGCCTCTGGGTGGTGGTAGTGCTGTGTCTGTTACTATTGCAAGACACTAGACTCCTGCACTTTGATCTAATGTTTCACTGGTTGGGCAAAAGCTCCAGGTGGTTTGCACCATCCAGCCGTCTTGCTATGTTTCTTGCATTCTCTTTTCTAGCTAACAAGTGAAGCATAAATGCAAATAAAGAACTGGTCGCATAAGGCACTCGTGCTACGTGGACAAAGGCATGAAACCATCCGATAAGGAAGCACCTGGACAACTCTGTCCTTTTCTTGCTGAAGGTAACTCAGAGGCCTGTGTGGTCAACCCTAACTGGTAGCTGAACAGCCATACTTCAGAGCTGAACAAGCTTTAGGGGGATGTTTAACAAGCCCCAAAGCCAAGAGGCAACCGCCGCTCCCCCCCTCCAGCTGGTGGTAAATGGTTGTTGCTCTGCTAATGACTTGGAAGTGAGACTTGCGTATGCTGTTCAGCTTGTTGCAAGATTAGGTATTTTATGTAAACAGGCAGTACCATTTCTCTGGACAACATTCATACCGTCTACTGTAAATAGAACGTCATTGATTTCCTAATTATCATGTCTAGTCTACTCTGGTCTAGTTGGTACAGTGCCACATGGTTTTTGATCACGTGTAGTGATACCCGCATGATTGAAAGCTTATCTTTTTTCCAGTGAGCACTTTTTCACATAGTTCATTTGTCATGGCTTCCCCATACAATAATCACCTTAGTACAGGGTAAAATGATTTTACACTTTTGCAGTTCTACTTTGGGTGACTGCCATCTTAAATACAAAGTTAAGTTTACACATGCTGCAGTGGTTACTCTGTAAACAGAGGCCCGTTCCCACTAGAAGGAGAAGTTAAGAAACATATTGCAGCAGTTGTTCTGAAGCCCATTATTTCAATTGCATATTTTGGAGTGTGATGTCAAGAAATTGTGCTCATCTAAAATGTGGGTTGCAACATACTTGCTCCCCCAGCCTACTTCAGTCTCGCTTCACCCTTCACATCTATTTACTAATTCTCAGGGGATTGTAATAATGGCAAGCAGATCATAACCTCAAGAATGAGTCTGTGAAGTGTTCTTCAAATTGGCCATACTCTCAAGATCATAGCCTTAGTAACAGAACACAATTCTTTTCATCTTTTATGTTTTAGGATTCACTACTGTTATATTTTCAATTATCCCTCCAAGCGAGGAGGGACTGAGGCCTGACTGACCAAAATTGCCAAAGCAAAATTCCACATTCAAAGCATCCTTTTGAAAGAGCTGCCTTCTTTTTTTTAAGCGGATCAGAAATCACCCATACTGGTGAGATGCCATGTAAGATTCAAATCTAAAAGTGACAGTTTATAGATGCAATTTACAACTTTCTAACTTTCCAAGTCCTAGTATTGGCCCTGCAAACTTATATCATTATGTTGCTAAAATGCAGCAGCTGGAACGTGCATCTTTTGATTTCTTAAAATTGTATGCATTTCTCATGGCTTTTGACTGTTACTTTTAAGTATTCTAAACTCTTATAGTTTTGCCAGCTCAGCAATACATGGCAGATGAGTAACATTAATGATCTGAAAAGGAGCAAGTGCCCAGATGAGGTTGGAAAAACCACACACAGTGGGTGGGAAACATACACTTGCCTTTAGAATATACCAGGCATCCCCAACCTTCAGCTGTTTTGGACTACAATTCCCATCATCTCTGACCACTGGTCCTGTTAGCTAGGGATCATGGGAGTTGTAGGCCAAAACATCTGGAAGGCCACAGGTTGGGGATGCCTGGAATATACTCTCCTAAACATCCACTCCAAGGCAATCCCTAACTTGCAAGAGGATTTACAGGACATAGTTGCAGCAGAGGAGCTACAGTAAAGACCAAACAAGGCCATTAGTCAGAATGTTCAAAATCTTGAGTAAAAAGGAGCAAGCAAGCTTCTGACAACGCCCACCCTACTTATAGGGATATGCTGTTTGTTGTATTGCCATGCTTTTACCTTCTAGAAGATTATCTGCCTCTTCCCCACTGTATATGCATACTGTATTAATCCACACACAGAGACACATTTAAGGGTGACAGCTAGAAACAAGAATTTTAGGTTGTACAAAATGTGATATTTATTTGTTTATAAATAGAAATATTAAATATGGAATGCTTCATACATAAGAAATTATCAAAATTACTGCTGCCTATAAGGCAATCCCTCATTTGGCTTCGGCGTTTTAGACTATCTACATATTTGTAAGGTAACATAGGGTACAGAAAATGGCAGGAAGAAGCAAAGCAAGCCAGTTTATTGAACAAAAACAAAATAAGAGAAGAGAAGCTGTTCTATTATCCTTCCCTGTGCCATCAAATTTCCTTTCAAATATTCAAAAGCCACCCTGGAATCCAGCTTCACTTGTATCAATATCGTGCTCCTTTAAAGAAAAGAAAAAGGGTATTTGTCAATACATACAAATGACTCTAGGCTCCTTTGCATTTTCAGGGTCCAAAATAAAATTTAAATGGTCTTGAAGGTTTTCAGCTCCTGGACTTTATGGCCCAGGGTTCCCAATGTTCCCAAACTCTTGCCCATGTTTAACAGATTAGGAGCACCCTGAAGGCTCACACACTCTTCTTCCGCACTCTTCTCATATAAATTCCTCTTCCTATTTGCATAGCTGACTATTGATGTCCGTAAAAATGTTACCACTAACCAGTTTGTAGTCACAGCTAGAAATGGGATTGCAAACTCTGGGTTTAGAGAGCCCTGGTTAGCATTAACATTGGTGCACATATAACACTGCTTGAGGGTTGCCGCTAAAATGAAGGAGGGAATTTGGCAGTCAAGGAAGGAGGAAGCATAAAGTCTAATATGCTCAACTATCAACTAGGTTTTTAATATTGCTTTCTCTAAGGAGCACACAGAATCACAAAAAAAGCTAGAAAGCATTCTCTCCACCCATCTTTTTTTTCTTCTGAAAGAGGAAACAGAATACTCAATTAACTTGAAAAGCAAATTAGATAAAGCTCAAGTCCTGTTTTATTATTAATTTTAATGTGGTGCCTCCTCTATAGATCACTGAGATCAGGGAGGAGTCTGCTTTCCCAGAAACCTGGCTTTCATATCTTTCCCAATGACCACTGGACAGGGCTTCAAGAAAAATGTCCATTAGTTTACCTGATTTAACTTCTTGAACTCCACTACTTGGAAGAAAATGTGCTCCAGGATATGTTTGGCATCTTGCTGCTCCTTTGGTAGTTTGTTAGTTACCCCTAGGATGTCCCCACATTTTCTGACATAGAATTCCAGATCATCTTCAGTGCCTAATAAGGACATAAAAGTAGCATAATACACACAAAATTTGCCAAATCATTTAAAGATATTATATGGGTTTCCACAAGCAGAGAAGGGATGCAGAGCCTATATGCAGCCACACATTACTAGACCACAGGATCCTTCATCCCTGACCACTGGGGCTGGGCTGGAGGTAACTGGTGTCCAATAACATCCAGAGGGCCACATATTATCTATCCTGATCTAGAGTACCTCCATTAGCATGGAGGAAACAGATTTAAAAGATCTGGTTTTCTTAACAAAATGCAAAGCATTTTGGAAAATTTTTAAGGTATGCATAATATGGAGGACTTCAGTAATTTTCAGCTTTCTAAAGTGTGCCCTGGAGATAAAAGTTTGAGAAGCTCTTCATCTAGAAAGTTCCCCTGCCCATCCCACAAATAGTTTAGCAATCCCAAGTTCAAATGTTTGCACTACTTACATTTGTTTGTTATTTGAGCAAGGCGAGCTTTCTCAGAAGAGAAAGTTTCATCCAAATCAAACAGGTCCAGGCTGGGAGGAGGCAGCTCTCTGAAGGCCGGTGGAAAAACCTAGTAAAGATTAGACAAAACTTAACATGCTGAGTCTGCCCATACTTGTTCAGAGAAAAAGAGCATTGGTGCAGGCTCCAATTAAACTACTCGCATGCTGTAATCTTGTTTATACTATGTAAGCCTCAGAAAGTAAACCCTTCAAAAACATATACAGGTTTGACATTTCCAATTTCTACTTCGGAAAAATCAGTGACATTCAGCTTAAGCATTTTGGTGAGAAGAAAGTAAGCACCAGATTACTTGTTTCCTAACCACAGGATGTCAGGTCTTGGAAGGGTTAGAGTGTGTTCAGGGCATAGCCTGAATTGAGAGAAATGTGATTAGCTGCAAGGACTGGACACACAAAATAAGTTAGGCTGTCCATGTAGGGAATTTCTAACTTTGAGGAATGATGGGCAGAACATAATGTCTGGGTTAAACTTTTCCTCATTTTCACTGCCTTCCTTTGAAAAACAAACTTTTGGTCACCCATGTGCCCCCTGGGCCCTCCCATTTCATGTATCGGGGAAATGGCTTCCTCCCCACCCACCCCTTTGGCTGTGCATCAGAAGAACAAAGCAATTAGAGTCCCTTGCCAGTTTAAGAGTGTTTAATGATCACAGACAAAGAACAAAACAGCCATTTTCAAAGTTAAGGTGTTCCTAATTAAGTTTTCCTCCTACTTCCCCCCGAGCCATCCTCATCACTTCCCCTTCTGGCAACCTGATCTTGCAACCACTGAGCCTTCTGCGCAGTAACCTTATCAGCTCTTTGCTCTTGGAGAGAGAGGCTGGACAATTTCCAGCGAAGGGGAGTCAGTTATCTCTTCCTGTTCTGTGTCTCCATTCCCCACTCAGCTCTGCCCAGCTTTTGTCTTCCGAACTATGTCCCTCTATACTGCTCTACTGTTCCGAGGCAGCTTCAGGATCCTGGTCAGGAGCAGGAAGAGGGAGAGGTTCCCACCATTCCTCATCAGAGCTGTAATCCTCAGTCTGATCTTTGACACCCCAGGATATTCCAAGGGGTCCACAGGTGAAAAATGCATAAATGGGACGCCATGGCACGAGACTAGGGAGCAACAGAGGGGAAGCGAAATGTGAAGAAAATAGTAAAGTGACCAAGAAAAGAAAAAAGAAAACAAAGAAGTGAAGAAAATAGAAAACAAAGAAGTAGAGGGAACAGAGAAGTGACCATGATTCCCAATGGATGGAGTCCCACACGCACTTTGCAGCGACGTCGCTTCCAGTTCCTTCTCCCTCCCACTTCCGCACTCTACCACTGCATGCACCAAGTTGTCCACATGTCGTTTGGCACGGGCAAGATGCATGGCTGCAGCAGTGTTAGTGTGTGGGGTGCTGTTTCTTCATGCAAGTATTACTGTGAAAGGAGGCATGTTGCTGCATGCAATTGTTACTCAGCCTCACGCAGAATTGGCTCAACGTAATCGACAGAGGTGATCTTCAGTTATCCCTCGCAGCAAAAGAACCAGATATAAAAAAAGCTTGTTTCTGGTCACCAAGCACAAGGGTCACATTGTTCGAGAGATACTTAAAGTATAATTTTTTATGTATTTTGTATAAATTAAATATATATATGCAGGTTTTGGTGTCCTCGGGTGTCTTCCCGTGTAAAAGTTGGGGTGTCTAGGCGACGTTTCGACGAGGTCTCACTCGTCATCTTCAGGCTGGTGCTTTCGGCTTCTTGTTACTGGAACAGAGCAGGATCTCAGTGTTTGAGTTCCTATAAATACTGTTGAGGGGGTGTGGTGTATAGCCTCCAATGTTCTGGGCAGAGAGGAAGTTCCCAGGCTAGTGTGCCTTTTCTTCTTTTGTTCCTTAATTACTTGAGGGATATCTTGAGTGATTTCTTGAGTGATATCCTGAGTACCACTTAGGTGGGTCATTAGGTGTGGATTAGTTGCTAAAGCCTTCGTGTCTTGACCTCTTGAACTTTGTGAAGAGTTTTTCTGAGAAGATGGCTGTACTGCACTTAGTTGTGCTCTGGCTTGGCTTCGTGTATAGGGGCGAGCTGTGGTTTTGTGTCCTGTGCCAGCCAGATCTGTGTAGGGATTGCAGGGGGGTGCAGCATCCGGAGGTGCCACCATGGTTTGGCTACTGGATGGTGTCTGTAATTTATCTGTGGAGAGGGTCTGGGTTTGGGTCTGGTGTGGTTGATTGGTGATGGCGTTCTGTGTGCCTCTGGATCTGGTGTCGGTTTTTGTGGGGAGGGCTAATTTCCAGATGTCTGGCAGGCGGGATGTGTCGTCACGCTTGTTCATGTTGTGAGGGTGTTTCTCTATCTCGATGGCTTCCATGATTATTCTCTTGTGGTGATGTTCCATGTTAGAGAGCAATTTGGAATCTGCAAAATTAATTTCGTGTCCTGTTTCTTTCATGTGTTGGAAAAGAGAGGAAGTTTTTTCTTCTTTTTTGACGGCATTCTTGTGTTCTGCGATACGTGCATTTATTCGTCTGTTTGTTTGTCCAATGTACGTGGCTGGGCAGACTTTGCAGGGTATTTCATAGACCCCTTGGTTTTCCAACTGGATTTTATCCTTGGGGTTTCTGAGGATATTGGCTATTTTTTGGTTGGTGCAAAAGGCTGTTTTGATATTGTGTTTATGGAGGATT